ATTTCTTTAAATGATTGTTATGCAATGATCAAAGATCAACAATACCTCCGAGTGAGGTTGTCACCTACCTCAGCATTAAGATTCGAAAAAAGTTTGAAGTGATAGCTTATTTGGACTATTTGAAAAGTAGAGTGACCATAGCCCTTAACAGATTCAGTTGTATAGAGGGCACCTTTTGGGGTCTCAGATGTCTAGAAACTGTGAGCATTTATAAAGGTTTTATTTTGAGTAGCCCCTGCCTAGAGTCAAAATGGCTCTGCTTCAAGTCACCAGATCGTACAGGACGGTGTCCATAGTATCTCCAAGTGAAAATAGAAGAAGATCGTAGGAGTTGGAAAAGGATTATCTGGGAGGATACAGTAGAAGAGTGGAACTGGGGGTGGTTGACAACTCCAAAAGGAGCAACCCTGAGAAAGTATTTTCCCACCATCGCATCGCGACTAGAAGCAACTTGGGTCCTCCCGGACTACTACACCTCTCTCCCTTTCTGAATATCATCATTTTAAACTCTTCCCGATTAAATGTAAATTCCATTAATCACAATAGTTTTATAAATCTATAATCATAAGTTGAAGTCTATCTGCCATAAAAGCAATGAAGGCTTAAGTACACACTATCCTAATGATATGACATTCACTCCTCCTGCAACACAATCCTCTATATCATTAATGTACCCACTGAAAAGAAATATACTAACATTAAATTGGTTATTTGTGAAATGACAAATGTGCTATTTTTAAGATACAAATGTATGGATAAACAATCAATCTTTACATTAGTTATGTAATGTGTTTTCTGTTACTAAAAGATGCTTCTGCGAATAATGCACCCTGAACAGCTCTCAACTCAAAAGTGGTATAAATGTGTCATTTTTTAAAATAACCTATTCAATTATTCCCTAATAATAATAACATTCTATTATGTGATATACAATTTTAATGTTTACAATAATATACATAATTCCCATACTGTATCCCAAATAATATTTCAAGGAGTTCTGTCAATCCTTATTGACTTCATTGCTTGTTTATGGTTTAAGCTCATTATTATTTTAACAATTTTGATTGATACTCCTGTGTTACAATTTGTAATATAATGCCTAGTAGTGAACTATATGTTTAGTTCTATAATAATTGCAGATAGCAAAATATATCAAACAAAGTATAACATGTGCCTTATTGTCTTTCTTCTGCAAATTTAAGATAATTATAATAAGTAAGATTTTAATAGAATAATATTTCCTAAATGCTGCCTATATTCTTTAACTAGTTATTGGATATTAATGAGTAAGCCAATAATTTAACTATTGGGTTTTCAAACTTGATGCCCATGTAATTCATTGTGTCATTCTTATCCTCTACTTTATGAACAGGGAATATGATGGATAAATAAAAGCTATTAGGTGTTTCTCCCATTTCAAAGTCTTTATTAATAGAATTGTGTAGTTGTTTTAAGTAAAACATTGCTGTTTTTTTATTTTCAATACATTTTAACATTATTAAACTATTTATTATTTCATTTATATCTTTTAACAATGAAACTGAACAAAAGCATGAACAAAATCATTTCTGACACCAGAAATGAAATAGCAACTAACAGTTGAAGATTAAATGCAAATGAAATTAATGACTGGAAAATGATGATGGTGGGAGAATGGTAGGATTTTCAAAAAAATATGTATGTAGAGGAACTAGGAACTGGATACTGTCAAAAATTAAGTTGAAGTGCAGGATGGTGGGTAGTCGCGGGAATTTCAAAAAGTAGGGGAAAGGAGAAGAGTAGTGGGGGCAACAACTGCTAGGCGGGTAATCTAACCTAACCAGGAACTATCATTGAGGATAAGCGCCCCCACCCCAGCCCAAAAAGCTGCGGGCATGATGTAAACTATTACCTTATTTTTTACTTGCTTAGTCATAACATTAATTTATTGTGATAATAAGACACATAAATTAAATATGTTTGAATGAGTCTATTTTGTATTACTTATAAATAATTTAAGCTCGATTTTTAATTAAAATTGAAATGTTGTTTGTATTAAGAAATGAGGATTTTTGAATCGTGATTTACTCTTTATTTATTTAATTTATTTTTTATTTAATTACATATTTTCCTTAAATTTTTAATGGCTATGGTCGAATTTCGACCACTAGTAAACATTATAGGACGAGATAAAATAGGTAAAATTTTGCCTTACCTTCTTAGCAAAATCCGTAAGGTCCCAGTGATTGAGGTGAAGTGATAAGAAATATGCTTTTCTCACCTAATTAACACCCAATGGAGACTTCATCTTGGCGGGAATTGGTGGCTTATTATTGTGCCTTTGAAATGGCGCCAAGTTTGAAATTCTACATGAACCTAAACGCTTATTTTATCAAATTTAAGTTACAATGGTCAATAATTGGTAATATGTCGATAATAGGAGCCTTTATACTACATATAAAAAGCTTTTGGCAGAAGCCACCCAATATATCCTGAATCCGCTTGTGGTGGCACCTATGGTTGTTGCAATACCAAGCAAGATCAGGAATATCCATTTCGACATCGACGGATGTTATCGATATTAATATATCGAATCAAAAACACCGGTATCGCCAATACAAAATAATTTTTCTAGTAAAAGGAAATTTTTGTAATGTTAACAGATACATTATCAATTACATATTAAAGCTAATTGAAATGAGGAAAAGAGAAACATGGATGTCATGATAATTTTATTAATACAGAACAAACAATAGAGGAAAAATAAATTAAAATTTGTATATTCACGAAACTTTGGTCATACCTAGTTCTGCTATAAATACTGTTACAAAAGTTGAACTGTTTACATCCTTGGCCAATATTTAGATAATCCTTACCTCTATCAGGTTACTTTCTTTAGATTTCAGGATAATAATCCCAATTACTTTTCTTTCCCTCAGTTAACATGGAGTGGGGTGAGATGGAGAAAACCAAATAGCTGTTATCTTCTTACACAATATGGAAAATGTAGGTCAGAGATTTTCAACACTTGGAAATCTTTGGGTATCAGCGGTATGTTTGTGTACCGCACAATAAATATACATAATGAGACCCTATCTGCATGTGATAGACCCCGACCGGGCCGGGGTGCAATGCAGTGAGAGCATTGGCAGAAGAAATCTGATTCGACAACAACAAATCATATCTCAGGAAATGGGGATCTCTGTCAGATCAATGTCTTGAATAATAAAAAGGGACCATTGGGTGGATGCATTTCGAAGATCGACAGAACAAAGGCTAACCACTTCCCTAAAAAACATAGAGTGGATAGATGTAAAGTGCTCCTTAGCCATTACACTAATGGTCTTCATCGAAAGGTTTTGTTTAGGGATGAGATCATTTTTACAATTGAAGAAAAATTTGAGCACCAAAATGATTGTGTGTATGCACACAGCTCTAAAGAAACCCAGGAAGTCATTGGAAGAGTGGAAAGAGGTCATCACCCTTCCTCAGTGATAGTTTGGTGGGGAATTTGCTTTGATGGCACCACAAAGCTCCATTTTTGTGAAAAAGAGCTAAAACAGCCGCTAAAAACTATCAGGACGATATTTTGGAAACTGCTGTCACGCCTCTAAATGATACTCAGTTTGCTGGAAGTCATCGTATTTTCCAGCAGGATTCCGCTCCAGCTCACAAGGTCAGGTCAACTCAGCAGTATCTGCAAAAGAACATTCCAAAGTTCATCTCTACCTTGGATTGGCCCTCAAACCCCTGCCCTCAACCTGGCCATCAGAAGTCCTGATCTCAATCCACTAGATTATCGGATTTTGTCCCAACTGGAGAGGATGGCATGGCACAGAGCACACCCCAACTAGGAAAGCCTCAAATAATCTCTGGTCCAAGCAGTTAAGCACTTTCCTCAAAAGTGCTTGCTGCTATTGATGACTGGCCACGGGGATTAAATGCCAGTGTCACAGCAAAAGAGCAACATTTTGAGTCATTTCTTTTTTGTTTTACTCTCCATAGATATACATTTTCATTTCTAAAAAGGTTTTTGAAAAAATTAATTTTTCTGTTGAATTTTGTATATATTTTCTTGTGACAATATTTATGACAGGACTAGATATCTTCATCTTGGTACTAGGTCACCCAGGTTTCACTGTATTTATTTTTCTTTACTTTATGGAAGAATAATAGATATAATGATTGTCAATTGTATTCTGAAGGTTCCTGTTTTTCATTCTCCATTGTATGGTTTTCTCTATTAAGACTATCAGTCCAGTCAAATTGGCCCAAGAAAAACGGACCAACCTTGAATAGGTCAAGGTTGAAGACGTGTAACTAATTTTGTATTATTTTATATAGTTAGGTGTAAGATTAATAACAAAAAATCACATTTTCAACATTGAAAGACTTATTTGTGGATTTGCAACAGTGCACCAACAAATTTTTTTGTTTACACTAAATATCTCCTTTTTAAAGCGATATAGCTGCAAAATTATTCAATATTTAATCATAAACAGCTCAAAATATGGAAACTTTCTTTTCTGAAGCCAATATAAAACAAGCTACTGAGCTTTCAAAATGAGAAAATTTAAAAAAAATTCACAAAAATCATGCATTAAGATTAGGAATATCCATCCATTTTCATAAGTGATGTGGACAAATATGTGTATATAAAATATTGAATTCACAAAATGTACAGTAAATTTTTGTATGAATGAAACTTATTTCTTTAATAATTCCCAAGAAAAAAAACCAATTTTTAATAGTTTGAGGAAAAAGCACTTATTTATAGTTTTACAATGTGCAGTTGTAGTTACGAAAATTATTGAAATCAATACTGACTATATGTGTTTTTCTACCAGGGCGTATCACTTAGGGGCACAAAATATCTTTTTTACATATACATTAGAAAACAATATTATCCTATAAAATTTTGTATAATGTTATAAGTAAGAATGTCATGATCTTGTTTTGAACCCAATAAAATCTATACATGAAATCACTGACAAAAGTTGATTAAATTAAAGAATTTTTAGCAGGAGCAGAAATGATAAGAACAGCCACATACCAAGCAAGCATAGATGGTTATATAAAACACTTACGCCTTACCAAACAGGAAGCTATCGAAGCTATTAAAGATTCAGTTGCAGTGGTTAGAAAGGCAATCACAATAGAAAAAGAGAAAACTGGTATTTATTTTTTTTTTTTTAAAGTAAATTATTTGATGATAACTCAATTTTTTTTTATAAATTCTTAATGTTAAATAACTCTATCGAAATAACAAATTTTTCAGGTAAAAATAAAGAAATACTTATCGTCGGCTCTGCTGGTCCATATGCTGTAAAGTTTCATGAGGGTTCAGAATATACAGGCTCCTATGCAGACAAAGTTAGCGAAGATGAGCTAATAGATTGGCATACACCAAAGGTTGATGCTTTAATTTCAGCAGGTGTTGATTTATTGGCATTTGAAACAATACCGTGTAAAATAGAAGCAATAGCAGTTGCCAAAATAATTCAAAAATACCCAAATACAAGAGCCTGGATTTCTTTTAGTGTAAAGGTAACTTTATTGACTTTTTAATGTATGTTATTCTAGGACAATTACTTACAGGGATGAGAGGATATTAATAAATAAAAATTTGGAACTATCCTCATAGTTTCAGTGGTATTGACGGCAAATTCATAATTTGATGAAATAAACAATTTTCTACAAATAAAGTTGTAGTATAAAAATTTAAATTACCAAGACTTCCATTTTATTTTTCTATAAGCTGTTGTAAATGTAGATATTTGTTTGATTACAATGAAATGGGAGTTTTGTTAAAATATGTATATATTCTGAAAAACTCAGTCTCTACAAAAATCTTCTTTAAACTTTCCTCAAATCGTGAGGTCAAAGATTAAGAGTACAAACTCACCAGTTTTTCTGAGATCCTACAGACCACCCTAGAGCTTCATTGCCAAGTCAGTAGGGTTAGGCCAAATTTGTTTTCTGATGTCCTCCATCTCAGGACATGTCTGAAGGATACGCTCTATACTCTGACAGCCTGTTGTACAGCTACAGGGAGGGCTTCCAAGAGGGTGAGGTGGCCAAGCGGAATGACCAGATAGAAGATGACAATGTGATAAAATAATACAGATTTGGCGTCCCAATGCCAAGGGGGTCTTTTAACTCTGGCATTAATCCTCCGCCCTCACCTCCTGGTCCGGTGAACCCCTGTATAGCCTAAAAAGCGAGGAGCCCAAAAAAAAAAAAAAAAAAAAAAAAAAAGAAAGCATCAGAGAAGCCTTTCTCCAATTTTGAATTTCTCATATTGGTGTGCCCTAATCATGCTGCGGCTTGCTAAGGGTCTGAATAGCAAAACTTGCTCTTTTCTGCTTATTTTGTAATAATCATCTGCAGGATTGTAATGTGGATGAGCATCATTGTCGTATTGCCTTTGTCATATTGAAGCTATACTTCTGAAGATGGCCTTCTGAAGGGTTTTACACTTAAAAATTCTAATTATTTATAAGTCATAAAGTCAATAAAATGAGTTAAATATTTATTATTTATTAATATATTCCTTAACGGACCTGAGCCTCAGAAATATTTAATTTTCAAAAATGAAACAAAAACTAATAATAATGTAATGAATAATATTTTTTTCTAGAATTTTAAGTTAATTTAATAATTTCAGGATACAGCTGAAATCAGCAGTGGTGAAAATTTTGTTGAAGCAGCAACAGAATGTTGGAATATGGCTTCGAGCCAGCTGGTAGCAATAGGTGTGAATTGCCTTGCTCCAGAACTGGTTCTCCCTCCTTTAGCAAACCTGCTGAGAGCAGACCCTTCAATACCACTCCTTGTATGCCCAAACAGTGGTGAAACATTTGACACCAATAACTACAGGTTGGGAATTATTTTTATTAAATGTTTATGTGCTTATGCTATAAAGATGAGGTAAAATCGTTTCAACGAGAGTCTAATCTATTCTACTGCTCAAATTACTTTCACAGTTTCTGTGACAGTATTTAACAAATGGAAGGGTATTTTTACCCAAGCGCTAATTAACCAAGATAATTTTCACATCATCAGGGCCGTCACGTGGGTGGGTCGACCAGGTAAAACAATTGGTCCTGAGGGTACCACGGATCTGTGACATGACTTGATGGTTCTTCCAATATGGCATTATCTCCTGCCCTTGCAGACATGTAGCACCTACAATGTTGAAGTTAATCCAGAAATATAACTTAATGCAGTGGTTGTGAATAATACATACAATAAAGTTCTATTTCCTGGTCTTACTACAGTTTGACGTTTATTTACAAAAACGATAACCTTCAAACACCAGATAACTGGATGTGCCCATCGATTTGAAAAAGAAAGTTCTTTTTAAAATCGTTAGGATGTGCCAGAGTAAAGAATATAATATTTTCAATTGGTAAAATTATTTATTTTAATTGTGTTCCAAATTTTAATAAAACCGAAGAACCGTCGGGATAAAGATAGGTTAAGTTTTCATTAGTGGAAGAAAAAAATAATAAAAATTTGTAAGCAATGTCCAGTGGGTGAAAAGCTAAAAAATTACCAATAATAAATATGTTCATAAATACAAATAAAAGCATTAAGCCAATAATTTTAATAGGTTATTAGTATTCTTTCTGTTTGTAATCGCGATTCATACAGATTGTCGTATTTCAAGTATCTTTTTTTCTTTGTTTTTCGTTTAATAACGGCATTGCGTATTCTATAAAATGTAAATAAATCACAATTATAAAAATTACTTGAGAAGTAAAAGACTAGAACCCAAAAGTTAAATTTAAAGAAATAATTGGGGAAACATTTGGAGATTAGACGCAAAAAAAGTGAAAATAAAAGGAGGCTATTTTTTATATTTAATTAATACTCATCTTATTACAATCAATATAAATATAGAGCTTTTCTTAGTAAAAATCATATTATTATTTGTAGATATTTACCTGCCTTAATGATGGACATTAATATCTGTTAATAAATATATAGGATAAAAGTACTAGTAGCTGACATGATTAAGGAAATTTTTTGAACTTTTAGGAGTAAAAACTCAAATATTAATTTTATTCTATTTTTTTGGATTCACCTTATAGATCTCCTTCTCACCTTGCCATGTTTAAACTCCATGAAACATCCACCTAAATTTGAAAAAATTGTAAATTAAGAGAATAGTTCTGTAGTGCCAGCAGCTGACACTATTTGATTTGGAATGCTCCTATAGTTGACAGGTATGGGAACCAGAATTTAATTGTGTGAAATTCCATATTATTCATTTTAAGATTAACAAAAATTACCTTTAACTTATAATAAAACTAACTTCTAGCGTTTCCCGATTTAAATTTTTTGTTAAATGCTGGACACTATCAAGAGCTTGTTTTTGGGAATATGAAACAATCACAAGCATTTTTTTTTTTTTTTTTTTTTTTTAGAGAATCATAGATGCTCCCATTTTTAAGACCTATTACATTAAGTTTATCTCTTTAAATTTCTGTGTGGACAGAACTGTCATTTTTTAGCAAATAGACCAAATATAAGGCTCCAGAAGATGACAGCCATTTAATTTTGCAATTAATTTAATAATATAGGTTAAAAACAGATCAAACATAATCTAAAAATACTCCAAGAAAAAATAAAACAAAATTTTGTGATAAATTCAGGTATAATGTTCTTAGTGATAGATCGTTGTTTCTGAGATACTAAGTGGACTATGAGGGGAACATCCCATTTTTATACTAATTATTTTGGTAACAGTTCACAGCAGGACTAAAGCAAAGCAGACAATTATACGAGAAAAAAGTGTAAAAGTTACAAATATATAAAATAGAGGTCTAGAAGGTCGTGAAAACTTATTATTCCCATTTTTCGAGGAGGGTGTAAGTTATTGATACACAGTCAGCTATGAGTGCTTTTACCCTAATCGGTGAACATGAAATTGTTAGTCATTCAACTCAACAGATAGCGTTGGTTGGGGCATGTGGAAAAGAGGGACTCTACAAGAATCCCAAGAAACCTTATCAATGTTAAGCCAGGAGATGGAAAAAGCCTCAGCTCAGATAGTTGGATGAAGTGGAAGGTAACCTGAAGGAGATGGATGTAAAGCGGTGGAGGCGCTTCACTGCTGAAAGGGATATGTGGAAGAATATTTTAGCAGATGCCAAGGTTCTACAACAAACCTGTAGATCCCAGCAATTAATGGGTGAGTGAGAAGTTTAAAGCTATAAAAATTGCAAGCTTAAAAAAAATTAGGAGTTGTTCGATATATGAATGGGAAAGAGGGAGGGAGAAGGAAGGGGCAAGGGAAAAGGGAGAGAAGGGGGCGCCTGAGAAAATCCCATCCTGGATGCCCACAACCCACACGGCGGCCCTGCATACCATACTTACATTTATTACTTCTTCAATATTACCTTGATTAATAAGATGATCTTTGAAAGAATTTTTAGTTAAACCTGGATAGTTTATTTATTTTTTTAAAGGTGGATTAAAGGAAGTACAAAGAAAGTAGCAGACTATGTAGAAGAATGGCTCAATCTTGGTGTCTCTTATATCGGTGGCTGTTGTCGCACTACGGCAGAGGATACACAACAAATGCTACGACAAATAAATCAATGGAAGAACAAGATTGTTTAGTATCATTCTGATCTAAAATATCTTATGTTTAACTAAAAACGGTGAATAGTTTGTCTTTGTAAAGAAAAAAATATTTTTAATGTTAAAATATATTTTTTAATAATACAAAACATTATCTTTTTTAAGCTGCTTAAACGGTTCAGCATAAAAACTAAATGTTTTTGGCAAGACTTATTAAATTTAACATCAGTCAGTTTTAACAATACTATGTGGTTTTAATAACAAAAATCACAATCCAAAGAAGAAAAAATTGTTTCAGTTAAGGATGAAAACTGATTCAATTTCTTAATGGAATGTGGGATAACAATTAGGAGTTAACTATCACAGTTAATTTCTTATAACTTGTGTATCTTATCAACCAATCTAAAGCAGTAAAAAAGCGAAATTGATCACATAAAAATAAACTATCAATAATGCTAACATTGAGTAATATAGTAGAGGAAAATAATACTATGCCTATTAAACTTACACAAATAAAATATGATCAAATACTAATAATGTGATTAACATTTATAAACATATTAAACTAATTTAAAAAATAGTAAAGAATTTCAATTTGTTTGTCTCTAACAAATTTAACTCAAAAACTTTCATAATCTAACATCTGATTTAACTACCATGGTAAACAGTTAAGGGAAACAAGATTCATTTTTATAATTTGGTACATTTTCTCCTAAAAATTTTAATTGTGAAAAAAAATATTCCAATCTTTTTAGGCATATCAATGTTTAAACCTTTTGATTTAACTCAGGGGTCTCCTCCAAGCCACATCCAATTTTTTTTTATTTACATTGTAAAATTTATAATAGTTTGTAAACTTAAAAAAATGGATTGATTTTTGTGAGTTTAAAAAAAAAGAGCTACTGATAGTATAATATGAAAATTTGATGGCTTCTTTTAATAAATAAGATAAACTAAATATATATTGTTTTAATTTTTTAAAATCAATTGAGTGGCCTCATATAAAATAGACACCTGTAACGTTTAAAAAGTTTAGAAAAAGCCAGCATTGGTGACATAGCTTCAATTAAAACTAATTCTAATGATTTTCATTATTCAATTTGAACAATTTTAAACAAAATTATCAGAAAAAGTCTGAGTTAAACCTTTAGGACAAGAACTGACTTTTTCTCCACTTTCTGAAAATGAAAGATCTCTGCCATTGATATGAGAACACTCAATTATAAAAAAATTCTAAATAATTTTTATAAGAAATTAAAAATGTTTTTTATTTTGAAAATGTATCAATATCACCAGTCAAGGCCTTTAAAACGTAGTGGAGGTGTCAAATTGGCATACGGATCGGAAATCCCTGATTTAACTGATTAACGATGAATAAATCAAAAACTAAATAAACAATTTAAATAAACAATATTTTTCAAAAATATTTCATCTATTTTTGAAACTATTTATTTCTACTATTCTGTAAACTAGATATCTACAAAATTATTACTTTTCTACTCGAATTTGAAAAAAATGGAAGGAACATTAAGTAAAATCAAACATATATATATATATATATATATATATATATATATATATATATATAATTGTGATAATTTTTCATTATATTTATTTAATATACATATTTGATTTTACTTAATGGTTTTACTGAATATAATGAGAAATTATTACAATTGTTTTAACAAATGATAATATTAAAAATCTTTTAGCAACCAGTTTAATATTATCTTCAAACTTGGAACACTTGCTTATTTTATTTTAACCCAAGGAGCAGGCAGCTCTCACATATCAAGCCAAACCAACAGATGCAATATGTGATCTACCTACAACATGTGTTAGAAGAAAAAAAGAGGAGCTTATGTGTACAATTCAACCTGTGTCTAATGTTCCTTCCAATATAAAAAAAAAAAATTTTTGAATTGCGATATATTAGTTATGTTAACAATATTTTTAACAGCTTCCATTATTCTGGTTATTTTAGGTTTTATTGCATCTTTTAATAACTAATTAGTAAGTTCTTATTACCACTAAGAATATCACTCAGTTATTCTTAATTCTATGGATGGAAGTTTAACCTTGACTATTGCTTGAAGTTCTTCTCTAGCCGATTTCTCCTCCTTAAGATTCATCTTCAATGATTCCACTTCATTGCAAAGAGAAATAACTCTGTCCTCTAACTCAGTAACAGTCTTGCTTATAGTCCTAAAAAAAATTTAAATCATGAAGCAATTTATCAAAATATGATCAACTTCTAACTTAAAAAAAAAATTATAATAAAAAAACACAACCACTTATTTTTGTACATAACCTAAAAATATATTTATTTGTTAATATAACTGAAAGAATATCTTTTTTTTTACACAACCGACTCTGTGATCACAATCAAAATGTATATCTCAACATACTATAAGTAAGTAATAAATAATTATACTATCAAAAGATTATGGTCAGTCAGAAAATAAATTCATAAATATTGATCAAAAACCCCAATACAGCCATTTTAATTTATTAGTAACATTTCCAAGGTTATTAGTAAAATGAAAAAAATAAGGTCAATATTGCTTCTGTAATAAGAAAGTCATTCAAATTTCCCTTTATTAGGTGAACAACTACTGTACAGCAACAAAGTTCATCACAGAAAAAGCTAACAAAATTAATAAAAATACCATTTACCTCTGAAACATTATCTACAAAAAACTATTAGAGCTAAAACATAATATGAAACAAACTAAATATTATCTACAATGTAATCTACGTTAAGTCTAAATTTATGTTTGATAAAACAGAACAATAATTAATTACTTGCTCAAAATTTTAACCTTTTTTCTCAAATCCCAAGCTTAAAAATTGTTTAAAGTAATTAGTCAGAGATCAATTAAATCTGATACAACAAAAAAGCAGGCAACACTTATTAGCTAAAGGAACTGAGGTAGTACAACAACATGATAACATGATATTATGTTGTTGTTCATAGAGGCTGTGGTGGCAGAGTGCTAAGAGGTCACCATAGCAACCTTAAGTCTAATGACGCTGGTTCGAATCTGGCCTGAGCAGGTTGAAATTTATTTCTTATGGACTCATGGAATGAATCCATCTTTTGACTCTGGTTAGAATAGGTTATTTACTTATAGAATAACCCCATATACCAGAAATGGTCAGGTAGAGAGAACATTTTGTAAAATTTATACATATATATACATATATAGAGAGATAGATAGCCAACGTTAACTTTTAGTTGTAAACTAAATCAGGAAGTTATCTCAATTTAAAAGTGAAATGTAGGAGAAAAATTAATCAGTCAAAAAGCATCATCGAAAATCTAAAGGAGATAATACTAACATAGAAACAAAGAAAAGCCCCCACAAAGAATTCCTTTACAGATTGTAAAGGAAACAAATTGAATTGGCACAAAACCTAATTAGGCTTCAGCAGATAATAATAATAAGGACAAAATACAAGTTTTTCCAAATAAATGTTTGTTTTTACAACAAAAAAAAAAAAAGTAAATTACCAGCAGATTTTTAACAAAATTTTCATTATATTAGATTCATTATAGCGCCTAAAAGAAAATAATATCATAATCTCAAACAACCACAGCAGTTTGAAATAATAGTTTATTCAGTAAAACATTATTGGATTAATGATGTTTATGAATCTTGTTAACGATCTATACTTTATCAAAGCTGAACTATATGATAAAAAATCTGACATATTTATACTTACTCGTGTAAACTTTTATTCTCTGCATCCAATTGTGGTTCTGTTAGTGACAAGTGAGTAGTTAAGTCATTAAAATTCAAACTGTCTATTAAAAAAAAAAATTATTAAATTAGTGAACTCAATTCAGGAATTACAAGGTAATGTACAGTGGAGAAAACAACATTAATCTTGATCTTTTTTTTTTTTTTTAATATATGAACAGTAAATGTTTCAAAATATTAATATGTATAGATATAAAGTTATATGAATATATGAGGAAGAGCTTCCTTTAATATAATCAAAAATTGTCTAATACCTACTCATATACAGATATAATACATGTATCCAGAACATACTCTTCCTTGTTTTAGTAAAATTTAAACGTAACATATTTATAATTTAAATAATTAGATTTCAAAGGCACAGAAGCAATATAAATACATATTTTCATATCAATTACATTCAAAGGCGCTAATTACAAGATAAGAGTATTTTGATCCTAAAACAGTTCTATGGTTATTCAAAATTAACTTGATAATTTGATAATCATAAGAAACAGTTAGAATTGAACCTATATAACAAAAATTGACATTTTCTCCAGATATGAGGCCACTCATTTATATCGCTAAATCAAAGTAAATGAAAATGAGAATTACAATCAGAAAAGTATAATTTCTTGAAACAGAAAAATATAACTGGTAAACACCCAACAATGATTAATATCGTAAATGAGTTTATTATAATTGGACATCAGTTTTTAAATTTGTTTGCATATTTTATATCAGAAGGAAATTGAAAACTGAAAAGAATTTTTTAAATATTTAATAAATCAATAACGTGTTACCCACCAGTGGATCCAGCCGGGGGGCGCATCCTTCCCCCTCCCCCTGGAAGCTGGAATTCCAAAAAAGTTCCAAAAATCAAATATTTAAAGAAAAGAGAGATATGGGGAAAATTCATCATCATAGAAGATGAATTTCCTAACGTAATAAAAAAATAAAATAAATATTATCGTAAACAGCACTAGCGAATTCTGCCAGGGGAACAGAAAAAAACTCCAAAACTAGTGACAAAAAACATCTATTTAAAGAAAATAGAAATATAAAGAAAATTCATCCTCATTCACAAATTTCCTAATGTAATATAAAAAAAAAAAAATATTATCATGACCAGCACTAGCAAATTCAGCCAGGAGGCGCCCTCCTCCTATCCAACCCTTGGTTGGTGGAAAAAAATACCTATATAAAGAAAAGGGAAATAGGAAAAATTCATCCTCTAAGACAAATTTTCTAATGTGATATAACAAAAATTATTTAATTTAAGTAATTAAAGATTACTTAGAGTTTGCTTTTGTTAAAACCGTTTAAAGAGGACTTTTGAGCTAAGGGTGGGGGGAGATTGGTAGTGGTGGGGGGACCGGGAATGGGTAGTGGTGGGGGGATCGGGAATGGGTAGTGGTGGGGAAATGAGTAGGGGTGGGGGAAGCACATGGTACAGAGGTGTGCCCATCCCTGAGAAAATTCTTGGATCCGCCACTGGTGTTACCTTAAAAGATATATAATTTCTAACAAAACTAATCAATCTGTAACTTTAACTGGTTGAGTTTAAGTATATATTAATATATTGTCAAATACCAACAATAAAGTAACAGGAACATGAAAAATATTTTTTTACTGAAACAGAAATAAATATTATCATAGTACATTTAACAAAAAATAAATAATAATTCGCTAATTAAATATATAATATTTACATTAAACAGCAGCATTTTAAAAATTCCTCAAAAACACGAATGTTACACAAGTTATGATTCTAATAAAATAATAATAATTTGATTTAAATCATAATAATTTAATAAATAAAAAAAGCAACCATTGTAATTGAGCTAGAAAAAAAAATACTCTTCCCTAACATAATATATTGCATTTACTGTTTTTGAGAAAATTGTAAAAACATGTTTTATCATTGATATAAAGTGGTACTTCCGGTGAGCCGATTTTAAGGAAATGTTGCTGTCACATCTAAGGCAAATACCTATCTTAAATACGCAATATCAGTTTCGTTTAACTTTTCATTTTTTAGCTGGACTGTTCACATACCCACAGACCAATTTGTGAGAATTGGTTATTTGGACTCAGGGGATCTCAAAATGTGTATTTCCGTTGAAATCTCAGATTCACGATCACAATACTACACTTATTATATATTACATACATAGGTAAGTGAAAATAAAAACTATATGTATATTAAAGTTGTTATATGTATTTTATTTTAGAAAAAAAAAATATTTGTATAAAAATATCGTGAGTTCGGCTGAAATATTCTTTTTAATAATTATTAAAACTCAATTTGCCGTTAACAATACAGTTTAATGTTTCTATTGCTTTCATGCTCAACAATGCTACTACTATTAACTATTTGCTCCAATTTTTGATAAATTATTTAAAATAATTTTTGAACTAAAAATTAATTTTTGTGATCTATACTTAGGAAAATAAAGAACTTCAGATCAGAGTCCTGGAGACAAGTAAAGTATAGTAATAATAATGATCATGAATTCAAAAATTCATAAACTTCCGCAAGTTATAAATTCAGTATTATGTAGCACAAGCATTAATAATATCAATAAATAACTCTCAACAAGATAGGATTAAACTCAACGACAATGAGTGTAATCCTAACCAGCCTTAGCCAAAACAATGATTAATAGTGAAAAAAATAAACTTGTTTTAATGGTTGATCGAAATAAAGAGTTTAGAGATTTATTGTTTACATCCTAAGAAAATAATAATCTTAAATCTTCCTACTATAAATAATAAAATAATGAGGAAAAGTAACCTTTATCCAATTAAGATTTTTCTTAAAACTATATTTAGGTACATAAGATATTACATTTAGTGCAAAAATAACAGTGAAGGAAAATAACAGTATTCAACTAAAATTTTTGACATATTCAAATATTCAAATTTAACAGTAAATATTAATTGAATATATTATTGTCACACAAAATAGTTATCAAATTCTGAAAAACGCCGTGTTTTTCTTTTCTTTTTTTTCAGATACATGGCAAAAAATAATTTTCTATAGAATACTAATTTTCTTTTTAATATGAACATCGTATCTCACTCAGATAACATAATATTGAAGGTACAATTGGTAGACTCATTACGAATTTGTAGTTAGGTATTATACTTCTTAATAAATTTTTTAAACCATAATTTAAAAATATAACAGCATTATATATATATATATGTGTGTATCACTTTAACATTGCAACATAAATATTAATCATTTATCTGTAATAAAGCTGAAAAACATTAACAATTACTTCACTAAGACACAATTAGTGCAGCCAATAAATTAATCACATTTAGACACAATGAGACTATACAAAGCAGATTCACAAATATATCAACAGCATACAATTTGTATACAAGGCAGAATTGGACATATCATCCAATTTTTTTCTTTAATAAGAGAATTTTTTTATAACTACTTTAGAAGCAACTTATATTCGAATGATTAAACTATTAACTTTCAGTTTTAAAAGATACTTATATAGTGAATAACATATACCACATAATGATTTCATATACAACTGCCAAAATATAATATTCTATGGCTTATTTATAAAGATAAATTAAAAATTTAGATATGGATATTTTTGTTGACTTTTTTTTTTAATTAAAAGGATGATAAATATTGAGGATTTCCAGTCTAGATTTGTTTATTTTTGGTTTAGAAAGCTTTATTTTAATATTTTCAGTTAAATTACCACTCCAATCTATCAGGTTATCACGCAAGTAATGTTGTGTTTTAAAAATCTGCTTGACATTACTAAACCCTCCTTACAATTGAATTGTGTTTAGATATTTTGGTTATAGCATTAAATACTCTCATTTTTATCATATTTTTGTTGGAGAAAGAAAGTTAGAGAAATTTAAATTAAAATGGTTCTCCCCAAAAATCACTTATGCCATGTTATGTTTGGGAAATTCAACTGCTTTTAACTTGTCAAACTAATTGTCAGACTAATGGTGGACAGTAGTATCCGATAATTATGGGATGACCTGATACTTGCACATACCATATCACACCACTCCCTTCAGTTTTTCATGATAGGAAAGACTGAAACTATTGGTAATTGTTAACATACTATTTATTTTAGTTACACTTTATTTAATTATAATGTAATTCCATCTGTGGCTCAATATACTTCCTCATATTCTTGTTAGTAACTAAATCTCGTCTTAAAATATTGCTCTATTGTATTCTAATTTGTTTTTATAATTCAAAAATTCACTTCATTTATTCTCTTGGTGTACTATAATTTTTATTTTACTATTATCTTATGTGAACTATTTATCTTTTTGTCTTGGTTTAATTATGTACTTCAGTCTATATCATATATTCCTGATGTAATTTTTCAATTTTAGCCCTGATGATGACCTACTTTGGTTGAAACGACTATAAGCTCAATAAAACAAATTTAGACTGAAAATCCTGAATATGGTAAAATAAAAATGTGGCCATACAATGATAGAAAATAAATCATAACATATATATATGTCTATAGTATTCATAGAAGGGCATCGATAATCTGAATAATTAGGTGTCTGGACAACACAATATTCTCTGAATAGGCTCAAACGGTCCCTTATTTTATCCCCTTTTCTCTTTCTTTTCAGACAATTTTTGGAAAAAATATGGCAGGAATTAACGTCTATTACTTATTTAGTCTATTTATCTCCAATTTTTACTTTTGTGAATAACTAATAAGAAATTTGTGTAAAGCATATCCACCACCAACGGATTATTGAGACTAATTGTTACTTCAAAGCTACAGAAAATTTTTCCAATGAACTTTAGTAACTGTAAATTTTGCAACCCCAATAACTCTACAGCCCCGAATATTTAATACAAGAAAATTAGAAATTGAAAAACATGTAAAATAAAAAATAAATCAGTCTAAAAAAAAATAATAAAGAGAGAGAACAATAAGTGAGTGATTAAAAAAAATAATCACCTCATCCTAAGCAAGAATACTCAATAAGAACCATATTGAATATGTAATAAAAATCACTAAATACCTAGAAATAACATAAA